CAGACAGAGCCAGTCAAAGGAGACCCTAGATATCCTTGATGCAAGGTGGCTCTCCTTTGCAGCAGAGAAACCCGCTTCCATCCCAGCTGGGCTCCCATACACATCAACCCAGCTCATTGCCAAAAGCCACCAACAGGAAACACAGCAGCCCAACCAACCTGACGTTCCCCGTGGGTTTGCAGTGATGGGCTTTGTTCCGTTCTCTCAAGACGCATCCTGTGCAGTGTGTTAGTGCTCAGTTTGGGATGCAGACTATAACCATCAGTGAAAATGGAACTTAAATTGTAGAGGGTTTTTCAAAAAATTATTTTTAGACATAAGTAAGTTCTCTAAACTTGATCCTGCTGAGCACATAACCTATACTCTCTTCTCTCCTTGGCCTCAAAGTAGTGACAGAATATGCAGATCCTGGCCCCAAGAAGCTGGAGCCCACTTTTCTTTCCAAAAGAAAGGGGAGAGTGAGCTAAAGATGACTAGAAGTGACGAAACCAGTGGTGAGATCTGCACTATCTCTCTGTGGCTACCCTTTTGTTACTACAAAAGATCCTTACCCACCTGTACATGGTGAGATGGTGTTTGGAAGCTAATGGGCTCATTCATTTCCTCAGAGCTAGCTTTGAATAAACCTGTTTTCCTTTTTACCAAAATATATGACTTCCTTTGATTTGGCCGACAATGAGAAAACCAGCAAAGACACATAAACTTGAGTGACCAGTAGCAAGAAATGCCAAACCACAATTGGTGTTGGCTCTGGCACTGAAACCAGGAGGTGAGTGTTGTTTTTAGGTCACTTTGCAGGATCTCCTGGTCTTGTCCCCTTTAGGATGCTGTTCACCTTCTCCTGGTCTCCAACATAACTCATAGCTAGGGCATAGTATTGTAGAGTTTTTTCCTGTCTGCAGTTGATTCCTGTTGGGCCTGTTCAGACCTGCAGAGCAGGCTCCTACCATGTTCTCTTTGCTCTCTCATCTCTTCCTTCTCATATATACAGAAGATGAAGAGGAGAAGAGCCTTCATCACTCGAGTACAGGCGTCTGGGGATGTGTTTTCTTTTTCATAACATTGAGGAGGCCCTTTGTCCTTGAGATGTGCATCTCTCACCTTTATATGACTACAAGCATGTATTCAATGGATAATGGATTGAAGTTAGTGAAAGTCTTTTGCTTCAAGATTAAAGTTACATCTTTATCAATCCCTGATCACTAGCCAGACGCAGGTCACATTGAGCCAGAGGTGATGTCATGAGTTTGCTCTCATATGTGTTGTGGTCATTAAGGCAGCAAACAAAAGGCTAAGTAGGGATCAATATTTTTAACCAGAAAACATCTTCATGTGTGTGTTCTCAAAGCCATGAGTCTTAAGAAGTACAGCAACTTGAAATGCCAGTTAAGCTGTCATATGAATGGGGATCTGCTTCTTAGAGTTTTTGGTTAGACAGGGTGATCACCCAACCCAGTTTTTAGTTCAAACTCCAGCATAATTCTAGATAAAAAGTGCAATGTGGTCACTCTCTGGTTAGATCACATGTCAAAAATGGTGTTCTCAGACAGGAGAACCAGTGGACTAGCTTGATGAGAGCTGAGAATTTGGGTAGGTTAGCCAAAGGAATAAGGCTGGAAAGCTAGTTTTAGACACCACATCTGGTGGTTGTCTATCACCATAACTAAGTTGTTCTCAAGAACTCAGCTAGTTTTCAATATATCAGATGTTGAAAATTTATTTTTGCTGCCAAAAGGAGGAAACTTGTTTACTGTAAGAAACAAAAAATAGAAAGACAGATGAGGAGCAGAGGGATAGTTGGATAGAGAAAGGAGTGGCTAGGGGCAGACCCACCTGAAGACAGTTCTGGTATCCCTGAGACCAACCTCTAAATGGACATCTACATGAGACCACAAAACTCCTTACACTAGTTAATCTTGTAGTAGTTACTTGCTACTGAAGAAATTCTGACAATAGAGTTGATTCAATGTTTTTATTCTGTTAGGATCTGCCAACCTTGCCAACCTTGCTTTTAAATAAACTTTTTGTATTTTCTGAAAGAGACAAAAAAACAAACTAACCCCTTGGAAGCAGGCAGGACATTAGTTTGCAAAGCTCCATCTGCAAAAATAAAGTCTCAGAGCTTGAGTCTGCCTGGACCTCTGTTTTAAATGTCAGAAATCCTCTTCAAATTAGCTTAATAAAAAATTGTGGAGGCATAAGTGAAAATTCCAAGGGTGGGAATGCCTTTGACTTCAGGCAAATGGGAGTCTACCATCTCAAGGCCTTCTCGTTGGGTGTGTGGGTGGGGGTCAAGCCAGCTCTCACCCTTTTGCAGACTGACAGGTTGACTGCTCAGACCCCAAACTAAAACAGCTTCATCCAGGTAACTTCACAAAAAAACCTCTTCATCTCCAAGTTCTTGCAGAAGAGACACCTGATGGTCCAGGGCGGGCCTGGCATTGCCTCTGAGCCAGTGATGATGACTGGGCATGTGTGTTCTCTGGCTGGCTCTGAACTACATGCTCATATTCTCAGCTGCACTGAGTCTCCTGGAGGAGATGCCCGAAGGCGGATGGGATTCTTTTGTCCTCAGAACAGACTAGGGAGGGAGCTGCTCTGGGCTCGCTTCTCCTCTCCTTACCTAAGTGATGCCTCCTCGAAGATTCTTAGTAAGACCCTGTCCAGTCAGAATAAGTAGATGAGCAATTTATTCAAAACAAGGAGGCTGAAAGTTTTGAAAAATATCTGTGGTTTTGCGACAGTTCTGGAACTTGTACCCAAGCCTTTCAGCAAACTGATTAGTCTGAAGGAAGAATGGATATTGCCAAACATAGAGCCCTATTATATTTAGGGCTCTGAGTTTTCCATCAATCTTTCTTCACAACCTTGAAGACAAAATTTGCGTTCAGAAAACAAAAGGGGCTTTCAAATACTTTAGAAAGAGGCCCCTGAGGCTGGAGGTGGATTGTTGAATAGAAAACAGCAAGTGGGTAAGTTCAGTGTAAAGAATGTGAAAAATATTTTTCCCTTTGCTTTGAAACCTGCAGGTCTAGAAGTCAGGAAAGGCAGCTCGCCAGAGGCATGGTCAGCCCTCTCCCCAAGGAAGGTGCTTGAGAAATAACTGGCATTGGAGCCTGGAAGGCTTTTGCTTTTTTGCCTGGACAAAGTGCCTGTTTGCTCTCCCAAATTACTCCCTTTCCGCTGGTTATTTATTTCTACTAGTATTACTGGAAACCCGTTTAATGTAAAAGTTAAAAAGCTGTACCTTCAATGTTTGGATCCATCTGTGATACTTGATGCAATTAGCCTCGATTTTCCAAGGCAAACCTATCTTTAAGGACACCTTCCACTCCACTGATGGAGCAGTATCAGTTCCCTGCTGGCTGTGTCCTTCATACTTTCCCATAGTGCCTTGCAAACTTTAAGCCCATGGAGTCAGCTGGAATTCTGTTAACTTCTGGACCCTGATTTTGGCAGGTCACTGCTGGATCTAGCAAACAGCTATTTATAGCCCAGAATCATCAAGAGCTATTGATCAAACAGCCCTGCAACCCACTCACATAAAAGAAAAATCCCCATAACAGTGAAACCAGCAGGCCCAGGACTACAATTGGTGCTGTGGACAGAGCCTGTTGCTCTAGATATCCTAGGGCACCACTGCTTGTCTTTCTGCCATCCACCATTGCCTCTGCTGCTGACCATCACCCCTGTCTCCAGAAGGGCCTTTCAAAGCTTTAGCTCAAGGAGTCGCTGCTTTGGAGCCCCCATTGCCCACAGTCCCTGGGGTTCAGGTTAAACCATGTGCTCCATGCTGGGGAGCTCTGCATTCTCCAGTTGGAGATGTCACCAGCCCAGCAGGACCTGTAAGACTCATTGTCACTCTCAGTCAGATAAGAAAGATGTCAGTGCTGATTGAAGGGCCCTCCTTCCTTCTAGTCTCCTTCCTCTTCTTCCTCCATGTCTCCTTTCTTCTCTGTGTTCTTTGTATTGTAATAATATAAACAATACAAATTGACAGGAATTAAAAGGAAAAGGTCTATTTAAATGGAAGGGAATCAAACAAAGATCAGCCATGCTATCACTAGCCCATGATCCCTGGTTCTCAGGGTCACCTCGGCTAACACACTCTGATTACATCTGCCGGCATGTGTGGCCCCTATGGCAGGATTCCCACTGGTTTCACTGCTGTGGGGATTTTTCTCTTATGTGAGTGGGCTGCAGGGCTGGTTGATTGAAAGCTTTTGATGATTTGGGCTTCTCTCTGTCTTTTCTCTTGGTCATCCATGTCATACCAGTTGTCCTGATGCTGCTTCATCGTGTGGTCAGTGGCCACTGAAATAAGTGATGCTCTTCGGCATTTATACTTCTGCAGAGTTAATTTCACTCTCTGCTTCTCTGTGCCCAAGTCCTTGCCTTCAACCTAGATTGCTTAAAGCAGCCATGGACTCTTGTTTGTCTGGCCCTGGAGCTGGAGATTTGAAAATGCCCTGGAGAGGATTCCCAAGTATGGGACCTCTCTTAGAAAAGACAAAAGGAAATTTATCCTGGGTATGAAACTAATAACACCCATAGCCTTCCTAAAGTCTCTGTGCATATGCATGTTGCTCTATATCTTTCTTATTTAGTGCTGGCACTTAGTCAGATGCATAGTTTATTTCATATACTGCTAACCATAGCCAGTGAGGGGAGTGCCATGCTTTTCCCTGCATACAGGTTGAAAACTAAGACCAAACTTCTCATATGGCTTTCCCAGGGTGACCCAGCACACAAGCAGAAGAGTGGAGACTTGAATACAAGGCGTTCTGCCTCCACACTCTTCACCACTGGCATGTCTGACGCCTATAGGGCTTCCTGTGGGCTAGTCTTCTCACCTCCAAGCCATGTTAGAAGCTGGAAACTGCATTAAGTTGGACATATTTTGCTGGCCCCACAGTCCTTGCATGAGTCAGGTCCCCAACAGAGATGCCACAAGTAGCAGGATGATGGGAATCAATTAAGAGTCACCTTTCTGTCCCCAGATCCTAATAACTATTATCACCGACGGAATGAGATGACCACCACGGATGATCTGGACTTTAAGCACCACAACTATAAGGAAATGCGCCAGGTAAGGTCTAGGGAGCAACAGAACATGTGTCCGTAAGCACTTAATATGTACCTGTTTTTAAGAAATTAGGGTGATGCATGAGAGATGGGAATTTGGATTTCAAGGCTAAGGTTGCTTCACTGGGGTTTGGATGTCCAGAGCAAGACTCCTGCTAGCAAAAGTTGGAACAGAATTCTTTTTTTTTTTTTTTTGGCAGTACCAGGGATTGAACTCAGGACCCTGCACTTGCCAGGCAGGCACTTACTCTACTGAGCTGTCTCTCCAGCCTCAGAACAGAATTAAAATGGAGACTTTTCTTACTTAATACTCTAGTTCCTAAAACCGCTGTGTTTCTGAATGACATCACTGCAGGATATTGGCTGTGTGTGGAGTTGGAGGAAAGAAAGCATCTAGGATAACACACTGCCCTCAGCCAGTGACTTGGTCACTTTTCTCCTGTTGCTGGGACAAAAATACCAGACACCCAAAGTTAAAGAGGGAAAGGTTTTTTCTGCACACAGTTAGTGGAGTTTTCAGTCCATACTTGGCTGGCTCCAAGGCAGAGTGGCACGTGGCACATAACAGGAGGTGGCATAACAGACTCCTCTTGCTCTTAAGAAACTAAGTTAATGTGTTTGGACTTGAGATCTGTAACTCATGCCTGCCGCTTCGCATTCTCAGAGTATTTGTGTGGCTGGGTAGTAGGATCTCATGGCAGCAGTTCATGGGAAGAAAACAGCAAAATCAGCCAGAGCTCAAAGGGAAGAGCAGCAGCCGGAAAGCCTCTCTCTCTCATGCAGGCTCTCCACCCAGGGTGGGTGTAGCACTCACACCCACAACCTCAGCATTGGACCATGAATCAATCACAAACTCTAACTGCCTGCCCCATGACTGCATGAGGCTTTGGGGAACATCTAGACACAAACCAGAGCAGCCATCATCCCCCATTAATATCCTCAATCCTCCTCACAGCTGGGCGAGTAGGGACTGTGGTTGTCTTTGTTCACAGATGGGAAAACTGAGCCAGCACTCCACTGTGTAGCACTATCTTCCTATTCAGATTCACAGTCTTTGACATGGTTGCCTGTAAGAATCACCTGGGGGAGTTTGTAGAAAGCACCTATACATAAACCTATAAATAAAGCAGAATTTTTAGAAGGGCATGGGAACTCACATTTTCAAGAGCTCTGCTTTGCCTTAACTCAGCAGTCAGCGTTACAACTTCTTTTTGATTCTGAGTACAGTTGGAAGAAAGTAACCAGGTGAGACATCTCCAGGATTAATCACAGACACCCAGCAGGAGAAAGGAAAGAGGCCACTGAGATCAGAATAAGTGGAAAGGGCGGCCCCTGGGCTGAGCCCATTGCCTCTGAAATCCTGTTCTGCATCCGCCCCCAGCATGTGCTAGAAAGCACAAGGACATGTGGGCAAACGAGAAATCCTTAGAAACCTGAGAATCTGTTTGAAAAGGCAGAACATGGAGAGATGTCCTCATGTATATATATTTACAGAATGAGGAATCACCAAAGACAGAGGAATAGGGCTCAAAAGAAGGGCTCGTAGGTGCCAAGGCAAAGCACCAGCTGTCTAGGACCAGCGCAGGAGATTTTTCTGAGATCCAGACTGTAGTCCTTTGGAATGAACATGCCTGGGTTGTCTCAATGTCATTTAACTTGAAACATACATACCCAGCTTCCAGACACCTGTCAGCACAGACTTGGAGGTGGGATGTGCTAACAGACTCCTTTTGCTGTCTTGCTCTTCAGAAATGAAGTTAATGTGCACGCTTGGACTCGAGATCTGTAACTCATGCCTGCTGCTCCGCCTTCTCAGAGTATTTATATGGCTGTTTCCAGCTCCATCTTTGGAAACACTGACAGATAACTAGCTAGCTCATTGGCTATCTCAGGACATCTTGCAGAGTCCAGAAATGAGACGGATATCATTGTGGCACAATTAAAGTCAAAAGCAATAAATCTATTGATTGCACAGAGAGAGTCTGGGTGCTGGCATCTTTGGATAATTGTTCTGTGTAGAGACCAGCATTCTTATGTGCAAGGAAGGCTAGTGGAGCACGCACTGTCACATGAGGGCACTCTGATCATTATTACACAGGGGAACCAAGGCTAAGGACACTTTGCTTCACCTGTGAAGCCATGTCAGGAGACCGTGGCTGAGTCCTCTGGGATCCTACTACCCAGGAGCACTGTACTGAAAACCACGGAGGGAAGCGTCTCTCAAGACTGCGGAGTGTTCAAGCCAGAAATGATTTGCCATTTGGATTTCTGGCTCCCGAGAATGGGAAAAAAAGACACATAGCATTTTTAGCAATTTCTCCATATGGAGTCTCCCAGGTTACTGTAGAATGCTTTCTACCTCAGGGAAAAGCAACAACAACAACAACAATGGTTAGTTTATCCTACTATTGAAAGAGACTTTACGATAAATGAAAAAATGAGACACATCAGCAAGATATGAGAAAACTGCAAAGCTTATGACACTGTAAGAGGACAGTGATAAAATGTGCATGCATCCCCTGCACAGTAAATCTCTTTCAAGCACTGACTTGTAAGGCTCTGATCAAGGCAGAGAGGAGATGCGATGGCTAAGATGAGGTAGATGAGCAGAGGGGAAGGCAGAGGCTGTCCAAACCTTGACACTGTGGTGCAGAGGGTGAGAACAGTGCCAAGGGAATGCTGGAGGGTGCAGAGACACGCACCGCAATCTGTAACT